CTCAAACTATAGCTGCATCTGAGTCCCCTGGAAGGTTCATTAAGACATATTACCAGGCCTCACCCCCAGAGTTGCTGATTCAGCAGGTCTGGGGCAGGACCGAGAACCTGCATTTCTAACAAGTGCTCAGGACATGCTGATGCTGCCGGTCTACACCACACTTTCCTTGCCACTGTCCTAGTGTACACAACCAGGAATGCAGTTTGTGTTGCTGTGGAGGAGCAGGAGGAGGAGGGAAAGAAGTCTTTACTGAGAACCTGGCGTATCAGCCCGTGTTACACACTCTGTCTACATTTTCTCAGTTAGTCTCCCATTTTAGAGGGGAGGAAACTGAGCCTCGGTCTTTCACAGGTCTCACAGATCTCTCCGACTCCAAGCCCAGGCATGCTGAAGGTGAGACTGAGTGGCTACCTGCAGGCACTCCGTAGATGGAATCCTGTTTCTGATGGGAGATTGCACCAGATCATTTCAGAGAGTTCTTCCAACTCTCAGAGTATCTTCAACTAGCGCTTGTAAGCACTAACACATATTCACACCAACTAAGTGCCAGGTGCTATGCAGCATTCCCTCCAGGACGTGTGTGGTTACTGGTCTAACTCTAAAGATGCCTTGGTGCCATCTCACCTGCCCTTGTCTCTCCTATATTTCTTGGCACCTGCAGTGAGCACTCCCTCAATCTCCAGGCAGGCTGAACACTTGGTTCACCCGGATATTTTAAAAGGAGGCCCTTTGTGTACACACCCAGCTCTGCTGTTTGCATTCATTGGGGTAGGGTGGCTGTTTCATCCGGGTGCAGTCCTTGGCACCAAGCTGTCTGCCACCTGCCTCATACCAATCCCAGACAGAGCATGCCAATCCACTATCCACACCCTGGCCAGCAAGACAATGATGTGGGGGCTGAGAAGACAAAAACCTAGAGGGGGGGAGGAGCAGCCTCATGTCCCAGAATGGCCAGAGGAACTGCAGAACGTGCTTAATGACCTTGCACTACAGGCTTCACTCTACTGCTCCTGCCTGACCTCCTGAGAGTCTGGCAAGCAGATACTAGAGGATCCTGGGGACTGAGGGCAAGCCCATGGTCACTTAGAGGATCCTACCAAGTATGAAATCAGGCCCAGGTTCCAGTAACTCCCCTCTAGGCTGTGATAACAAGACCTCTTCCTTTGTACATTCTTTTTTTATATTTAAGGTTTTCAATTCTAACAGAAACAGTAAGAAAAATAAAATGTAAAGAATTTGGGCGTCTGTGTTGCATGTAAAAGGACTGTGGTGAGGGCATCTGGCTCTTATTTGACTGTCTTATTATATTATCTTGTTTGCTTTCTCCTCAAGTATTGCCAGGATGTAGATCACCTATGAATGGCCCAAGAAGTGTCACTGGTTTATTGCTTATCAACTTTCAGGTGTAAGTGAAGCCTGCAGTGCAAACACCTCTCACCAAGGAATCAACTCATGCACCCAGTGAAGAACAAAGCCCATGCTCTGGCCTTGGCAGAGGGCAGTAAACAGATCATTAGCAATGGTTTAGCTTAGCAGCCCCGAGGAGGGACCATAGGAAGAAAGCTTCCCAGGGAGGGTGACCTTTGAGGCAAATGAACAGATTTCAGTTGGCAGGCGTTGAGAACCCTCCACTCCTTTAGCTCCTTTCTCTGCAGTCTCTCCATATCTGGGGTCTCAAACTACCTTCCAGAGCTTGAGGTACAGGGATCATTCCCTTCCGATTTACAAGAAGAGAAATCAGAGTGTGACCAAGGGACCATCCAAGGTTAGGTCTTTCTAGTTTGATACTGAGCACAAGTGTGCTCAGCTAGGGCTGCAGACTTGAATATAAAGCACAAAGGAAATATAAGACAGCCTCTGCCCTTGGGGAATGTGGTGTCATTAGCAAATAAGATAGATAAATAAAATACCAAAAATAATTGTAAAAGTGTTGTGCAAATAATTCACTTCCCCAGCTATTTATCCAGAACTCTATCTGCAGGTATTTTGTAAGACACCTGGGTAGGGGCTGGGAAGAGTTAGAAACCCAGTGAAATACAGTCCCACACCTTAAGAACTCACAGTTTAACTGGTTATAGGGGAGCAGGGTGGCAGAAAGAGGAAGCTAACAGTTGGTGGAATGCTGGGTGGGGCAAAAGTAGGTTTACATTTGTGAATACTTGAAATACAGTTTATTCTTGTATGATTATTTATTAATTATTGTACTATTTTCCATACGAACAACTATAAACCTACTATTGCCCCACTGTGAAATAAATCTGTGTGATGATGCCGGAAAATAGTTACATAGGGAAAGAGAAGGAAAGAGAGGGAGCAAAACCCTTTCACGTCTTTATCCTTGCAGATCCAGATCAGTAATCACCTCCTCCGTGAAGCCTTCCCGGGCAAAATGAGGTCCTTCTTCAGGAACTCAAAGCACCCCTAGTATAGAATGTACCTCACTGCTGTACTTGTTTCCTTTCTGCTTGTCTCAACTCAAGGGCCCCACATGAAAGAAAAGAAAAAAGGAAGGCCTATGATTGTAGTGGGGCTGGGTATTACATCCACTATAGTCTTTTTACTGTTTTCCTGAAATATAATTCACGTACAGTAAAAGGCACAAATCATAAGCACGCAGCCATGCTTACATACGTAAAGCCACCACCCAGATCAAGTTCTAGAATGCTTCTAGTGCCCCAGATGCTGCAGGCTGCCCCCTGTAACAGGGTCACTGACACTGTGGCCAGAGGAGTAGAGCCAGCAGGCTGCTGTCGCTGGGGAGCAGCATGTAAGGAAATGATGAAAGGATTCCAGGCGTCTGGGCTGGAGAAGCCATGTGCTGGAGCGAGGTTATTATTTGTGAGGACTAACAGTGCAGAAACAATTAGACTTGTCCTGTGGGTGGCAGTGGGGAGCCACAGTGAGGAGCATTTCAGTTCAGCATAAAACCCTTCCTACAACAGAGCTGACCCCCAGGAAGTGATAAGGAAGGCTCCCATTAATAAAAGATATCAGTCAGGAATAAGACTGCCAAACATTTATCAGTAGTGATGGGGTTGGGATAGGGGACTTGATTGGAGATGGCTCCCTCCAACTCTGAGCTTCTATGATTCTGAAATTCTCTGACAATGGCACAGAAGGACTGTCAAACACCTGTGGTTATGAATTGTTTGTTTTTCCAGAGGAAAAGTTTTTCATCAAAAGTATTGTGCAGGCCCACCATTATCAGCACTATCACCACCTACAAAACAACTGAGCCAGAGAGACCTTAGGGCTCCCCTCCCTGGTGCTCACAGTCTAGGGGGATGGAGCAGATGCTGGGGTGGCACTGTGAGATGGGACCAGCACCTGCAAGAGAAGTTGGTTGTCCCCATATCATTCCAAGTTGTCACCCACCAACTCCTCAATCCTTTTGGCCCTGGTCCCCCTGGAGGACGAGTGGGGCATGAATCCTGGCTCCCACCACTACGAGAACACCAGGGCAGAGGTGACACTGTAAGACCTTACTGTTATGCCTCCTGGAAACAATGCAGGACCAGGATCTTGGCTCAGAAGCAGGACCACACAAGCACCCATCAGCCCTGTGACCACCAGGGGCAAAGGACAGCCTGCGTCAGCTGCAGGCCTCTCCAAGGACTCCCAGCCTGGAGGCTAACATCCTCCCAGTCCAGCTCCTTCCGGCTTTTCCCAGCAAAATAGGAATTTCCCCCAGAGCTCTTTTCCCTCCCAGAGGGTTATTTCCAAATTTCTCCTGGGATTTCCTTCAGGTCACCACCCTCCCCTTTCTGGCCCCCTCTGCTCCCGCAAATAGGAAGAAGAGAGAAAGTCTGGACCAAGCATCCACACCTTCCTCCTTCCAACACCTTGTCGGAGGCGCAGAGGTGTTGCTGCAGGTGAAGGCGGACTCCAGGCCCTTCCTTCCGCAGAGCCTGCGGTGAAGATGGATAGTTTCTAGGGTTTTCTGTGAGGGCAAGGAACCTTTTGAGGTACTAATGAAAACGATGACTACCCTCCCAAGAACAAATACATGTAGGGGATTTGGGGAGGCTGTGCCAGACCCTGGGAGTCCATCTGTGAAGCCTCTAGGTTGAGAGGGAAGGCTGGGGGCCGCCTCTACCGCCAAAGCCCAGGCCTGGCTGGTGTCTGGGGAAGGCGCTCTCCCCAGCCCAGGCGAAGCGCAGCAAGACCCCGCTCTCCAGCCTCCCTGCGCACACTGGGCCGCTCGGGCTCTCGGTTTGCCGGGCTCTAAAATGGGCACTCGGGCCCCTCCGACCCTGGGGAGCTGCGGAGGGCGGCTGGCGGGACTGGAGCTGGGGCGAGGAGGGTGGGGGTGGAGAGCGGCTCCGGGTTGGTCTCCCGACGCCCGGGGAGGGAGAGCTGGTGAGTGCGGGAA